TCAAGAAAGTAATATTGCACACTTTCACTGTCAACTGTGTTAAGACTTTTACTCCCAGGCAGTGACAACCAGTCCCATTTGATTTTTTTGCTGTCATACTACCTTAAAAAAGGTCATTTTTGGTTTCCATGGCAGTGGAAAAAAAATGAAGGAAGACAGCCCTTATTGAACATGAGGCCTAGGTTTCAAAATTAATTTTCCAGTCTGCAAGACAGAAAACAAAATAAATAAAGTTTAAACCCTGAAAGTTGAACCCAACAATTAAGCTTTAAGTTCAATGTTACAAGGAGAGTTTAAAACAACACACAAAATGATACTAAGTATTCCACATTCCAGTTTCACAGACACACAGAATTTGCTGAGGTATATACAAATGCTGTTCAGAAAAACAGACTGTGTGTCTTTTTGAATTATTTAACAAAGAAGGTTTAGGCAATGAAGCAGCAACACTTACATCATCACAGGACATATTATATTCTGCCAAAACAGTTCGGCATCGGGCTGCTATACTGCGTGGATTGTGTCAAGGAAAGCAACCAACACTTGTACACACAGTAAGCAAAAACTACCAAAGCAGTATTGGCACAGGCTTCAACAACTGCAGGAATTACACTTTTAACGTGACAAACATTATCAAAGGATACATTGATGGTGCCACCACTCGTTTATGTATTCCAGCAAAGAACAAGCCTATTAGGGTAATACAGCTAATTGTGAAAAATGGGTGATTCCAAAGTGACGTGAAAAATGATACCTAGGAAAGAAATCAGGTTAGTTCAACTGCATACTTTCTAAAACACACACAAAGTCACTGCCTAGATCCCTTAACTAAAAATAAAATACTGCTCCCAGCCATTTCCAAGTACTTGTGAACAATTCTTTAGATAAGCATTCAGGGTACAGTGTTTTGGCAGGCATTGTCCCAGGACACATTCCACAATGTCTCCAGGCAGCTTGATAGCTTTACTAAAAATCACCTCCCAGTTTCATGTGAGAATGTGTTCAGCCTTTCAGTTTTCAATACACCTGACTGCAGCACCAAGCTATGGAACACAGCACATTTGGCATTAGGCTGACCTTACCTTTTGTGTCTCTGGGTCTATTAACCAGTTCCAAGCCCCAGTTGCTGTGCAGACTGACACCACTATCAAAATCACTGATGAAGAAAAGAATGAGAGTCATAAACAGTATACCTCACTCAAATTTAAATGCATTTATTTTTCAGCAGCAACTCTTAAACACTTATTTCTTTTCTCACTTCTAAGAGAGGAAAAGCTCTTAATTGGAAAGCAGAAATGAAAATATGCAAAAACACTTCTCATATGTGAAACCCTAAGGATTCTGTACCAAGTTCTTGGACAGAACAAGTACATCTAAAAATCTAAATTCTGTCAAGTAAAAACATCCTGGTCCTTTGAAAGAACCAAAGTTATTTTTTCAAAAGGAAGTTGAAAAAATTTAATCAAAAGCATAGAGCTTCTCCTCTACATCACATAAACACTTTCTTTTCAGGATAACAGGAAGAAAAGTTAACATTGGTCACACATCCCATTATAATTAAAACAGAAAGTCCTCCTTTTATGTGAATTATGAAACAAGCAATTTTGGAAAAAACATGAGCCACTGAGTACAATATTAGTCATGCAGACCTCATTTAAATATGCTTAAAAGTTTGCGGTATTTTTTTTAATTATAACTGACAGAAAATAGCAATTTTGGAAGCCAAATGCATTCCTAAAGTAGGTGTGCACAAACTCAGCAGAACTGCATATAAATATCTGTTTGCTCTGAAACAAAGGGGTTTGAGGTGGTGCTGGTGTTTGCTTTTGCTTTCTGAGTAGTCATTCCTTCAGTTCCTTCATTCAAAACTGACCTCTCAGGAGAAAAGATACTGTTTTATGTGTTCGAAAAAAAGTCTGTTCTTTCAGTAGGAAAACTTCAGCAGAGTCTCAAAAACAAAACAAAACAAAAAAACCCAAACAAACAAACAAACAAACAAACAAAAAAAAAAAACCAAAAAAAAACCCCACCAAAGTTGTGTGTTTCTACCACAGACCACTGACCCCAAAGCTGGCAGCATATCTGTGGAATTTTTTGCCTTCCCCCCTCCTTCAAACCTTCCTGTCATAACAAAGCTGCCTTTATGGCAAACTGGTGTAACTTTTTCACCTTCAATTTCATAGGGACTATCTCACCTAATCATATTTTGTTTAAGTAACTACAGCAACAGCCTGGGAAGCCTGAGTCTTGAAGAAAAAAACTTCAGTAACATAATAAAAACCAAATAAAACAGAAACAAACACAGCTTATTGTTTCAGATATTTCCAGAATAATTCAGTCTTGAGCCAACTCAATCTTAACCTCATTTTCCTAATTCTGGCTAAAATATTAGTTTATTATCCTGTATGAACTTACTGCAGAGTATTTGAATGTATGCCACAAATTTTAAAGCAAGTATAAATAAAAATTTTTCTTTGGGATAAACACTGGTAAATCTAACAAGCTTGAAAGACAGACTCCTATTTATTCCTTGGAACACCAAACTTACTTCTCCAACGTCCTGTAGCTGGTTGCAAACATGCAATGTATTCAGTAAGTCTTCTTTCAAAAGCTTTGAGATCTGGGAAAGATGTATATCAAGCATAATTAGAGCTTCATCTATTTAGTCATGTTTTGAAGTAGAAGATAAAAAGAATTCCCCCATGCACACCCAGCTCTTAAACAGGCAGAGAAAACCAATGCAATGATCCTTTATATGCAGTAGAAGTCCAGTCACAGTAGCTTTACTCAGCTCCAGTTAAAAAGTACAGTGGTGGAGTTAATCTAAAAGCAAAAAAACTTCCCACTTATAAAAAGAAAAATCAATACAGTTGAGAAATCACACTATTTCAGACATCTTTAGAAATAGTGACTTAGATTTATAGTAACTTAAATTGCCTCAAAACAAGACAAAAGAATGTATCACATTTTGAAGTAGTAAGTATATCAGGAAACCATTAAGTTCTACTATCAATATAATGGCAATTTAAAAAGTTGGCCATCTGCCACTGTTCAAGGGGTTACTGTAGCAGTGTGGCTTTGATGATTTTGTTTCATAGAAACTTTGAATGTCATTATATATATACACACACATATGCAAAAAATCCCACAGCAACCACTGCTCCAATGATCTTATTCCAATCAATAATCCTTAAAAATAGATCTTCCTTCTCACTGCCATTGTTCTCCCATGGTCTTTCCACTGCAATTGCTGTTAAATCCATTTCAAGTTGATACTCCTAATTGTCTCCAAGGAGCTGTTTCACTTTAAGTCCAAGTTAGATTTACACTTCCTTTCAACAAGGTCAATATTTGATAACATTCCAGTTAAAGCTAGAATTCTACCTGAATAAAAGTTTTAATTAGGACCAACTTAACTTTCAGCTAAAGTATCTGTCAGCATCTATGAGGAACTTCAACTTCCAACTACTGCTACATTAGTTATCTCAATAAAGCAATTAAAGAATAAGCTTGGAAGAAATAAATCTATTATGACTACTATGAAAGTAGTTTTCTACACTGCAAATTTATTCCTAAATGGTTTGCAGGTGAATTTACGGGGGAAGATTACAGTACCTTGACTTCAGCCACAGAACAACTAACTAGTCTTAATTACTGCCAAGAAGACGGAAGTTAATGGCCTGTCCTCCACATCCCTTCTGGGGAAGTTAAACCACCGCCGGCAATTACAGCTAATTAACTGTTCCCTGACTAGCACAAACCCCTCCAACTAGTCACTGAAGCGAGAGGGGGAACACGAGACACCACACGAAAACCTGCTGTTTGAGAAACAGCACCCTGAAGGCATAAAAACAGGCTATTGACAACAAAGCTCTCAAGAAAACACTCAATGCAGCCATCACTGAAAGAAAATATGAAAAAAACTTTGTCAGAAAAAAGAAAATGGAAGTTTAAACTTATTTTCAACTATGCACGTTCTAAGAACCTTCTCTAAGTTGATCCCTTTGGCAGCTGTGACTAGCAGGGCACACTTTGGGAACCCTCAGATTGCACAAGCATAGCAACAAAGCCCTGACAACGCCGGACTATCGGTTTCTGCGGACATTGCCTACTTCTGGTGCCAGCTACAAAACACCTGCTAATTCCGAAACACTGGGCCATTTTAAAAATCCCTACCAGTCTTTGGACACTGAAAAGTCCTTTCAGGGTTTTGACATTCTGTAAGCTGTAACTTCAAAAGATCTTGTAACCCAAACCATCAAGTGTCCCCAGACAAGAAGGGACTACTTGAGGTCGCGTTCTCCAAAGGCGAAAGGAGCCCCGGCTCAGTGTAGCGCCTAGCGGGGCTCAAGAGCTGTAAGAAACGCGTCTCCCACAAAAAGCCGGGAGCGGGCAAGGAGATCCCACAGCCCAAGAGGATTTTCCTCAGCTGCAGCCGAGCAGCGGCACCGAAAGGGAACCGCGGGCACTCCCTCCTCCCGGGGCAGGCAGCAGCCCTCAGCACAGGCCCTCCCGCGGCGCTGCTCTCCGGGGAGCAGCACAGCCCGCCCCGAGCGGGGGACGCCGAGAAGGCCCCGGAACCCCGCCCTAGCTCGCCTGTCTGGGCCGAGGAAGAGCGCCGGGAGCGCGGTGCAGAGGGAGCCGAGGCCTCCCGCGGCCGCTTCGTCCCGCTCCGCAGGGACGGGGCAACGCGCTTGGGCAGCCCGGGCGCAGAGCCGGCAGCTCCCGGCGCGCCGAAGAAGCAGCTCCGGGCTCGCTCCGAGCGGCCGCACTCACCCTCAGCCTGGTCCAGGGAGTTCATGGCGGGCGGGCGGGCGGAGCGGCGCGCACCGGGCGGAGCACCGAGCACGGGCCGTTCCCCGCGGCCCCGCGCACCGCCCCGCCGGCCCGGCCCCGCAACAACGCCCCGCGCTACTCGTCCGCCGCGCCGCCCGCAGCAAGCGCGCCTCGCATTGGCTACCGGCAGCCAAGGGGCGCGGCTCGGCCGGCTTTGGGGATGTTGTCGAGCAGCTGTGTTGAACTTTATTTATTAAATAGCAGCGCCGCGGTTTTTTCCTTTTCTGCGCCTACTGACATCCTCACAACACTTGAGACGGCTGTTCAATTTACGTGTCTCGGCAGAAAATAAAAGCTAGGAAAGAAGATACAATATTCTTCCTTCAAGACAGCACAGGTCAACCTCTACACTTGTTCATTTGGGGTTTTTCTACATCCCCCCACTCGCAGTCACCGGCCAGCGCTCCGGCACGGCCAGGCTGCTCGCCCAGGCGCTTGTGAGAGCCACTGCAGTGCACAGGTTTAAAGGCTGCTTTGAAAACAGGTCCAGCAAGACTGACCTGGGATCTCCTCAGTAGGGCCAGGCAAAGCTGTTGCAAGCTACAGGCCCGAGCAGTAGGCTGAAAATCCTACACAGGCAATTCAATTGATCAGGGTTTCTGTGCAGGAGGATGGCACTGGGGCACGAAGACCATGTGTCTCTGGGTATGGGCCTGTATCTCTGTCAGAAGGGCTGTGAGGTGCTTCCACACATCACCCCTCGCCCCTATCCCCTCGGTTTATTGCTACAGGAGCGGTGTGGCCCCAGAGGGACAGGGTTTGTAACAGGGACAGCAGCAGTGGTGGCGGCCCTGCTGTGCTGCCAGCCCGGGCCCGGCTGTGCTCCAGCGGCAGCAATCGCGGACTGGATGGCAATAGCCGAGTGGTCGGCCAAAAGTAGCGCTGAAGGGTTGGGTTTCTTTGCCGGTTTTAAGTGTCCCATAGGACATCAGGGATCAGCCATCATGATCCCACAGCCCTGCCTGCTGCTAGCCCAGCTGGGCCACAGAGGTAACTGAACTGGTCTGTTTGCTAAATGAAAGCTTTCTGAGTTACTGAGTGACTCGATTAGTGAGCTCTCCCGGGGCCCGGGCTCTCTGCACTGCCATCTGTTTTCAGCTAACTGGTACTGGAGCCTGGATTGTATTTTGTAGTCCGGTAAGAATTTTGTGTTGCTTAAAGCAGAGGTGCTGCAGTGCTCTCGAGGTTGGGATGTGGTCTAATTTCTCTCCTTCTGTTTCTTAAAAGGAACCTAGAAAATAATGAAAATGTGATTTATAGCAATTCTGCTCTCATTGGTTTAAGCATAATTACAAAAAATTGTGTATTCTAGAAATTCATACATTACTTTTACTTTGGTGATGGCTCACTGAATATAAATGATGGCCTATTATTTTCTTAAGAGTGTTTGAGTCCAGCCTATTATAGTTTTGCCTAGTTAATTTATACCAATTTTGCCAGTGTAAAAACCAGAAGAAACACGGTACTGGTGGTAGTTGAAATTATGTCTTCCATGTGGAAAGGCAGAGCACCTCAGTGGTGTTTTTTCTGACTGTTGACAAAGACTATAGCAGATATTAGCACTGGAGTTTCACTGAATCAAAGACTGCAGTATGGGAAGGAGATGTTTTCTTCCTTTCTACAACTGTACTCTTGCAGTTTGTAGAACCTTAAATTAATCAGACCCCAGGAAACTGGATGCTGCTCTGAAAAAGTGAGTTCTCTGCGTAGCCCTTGGAGATTTCCAGCACCCCAAAAGGATCAGAAACTTTTTATTTGCATTAAGCTATTTATATTTGTGTGAGCTTGCTGATGTGCAGATCTCCTCTGGTCTTTTACATTGCTCCAGCTATTAGGTTTATATCTGAACAGATACAGGTATCATAAAGCTGTTTTTTATTCAAACCTCAATGATTTGTGACACTCAGAGGCTGAACCTACATCAGGGAAAAAATTCCAAGATCTATAACCCTTGATATACCTAAGTAGATTATAATTCCTTTATTGTTTCTAATATAAAACTTCTTGGGTTGTTAAAAATGTTTTGGGTGTTTTTTTTCCCCCAAATAGCTTTTACTGTACAACTCTGTTGACTAGCCAGGATAAATGAGGCAAGGCAATGTAACTGTCATCACACTACAGCTATGACTTAAATAAACTGTTTCTTAGGGTTAGTGCATCTGCTAGTAACCCTTGATATCTTTCTCTGCCAACATGTGTGAAGCCTGAAAATGAGCAGCCTAAGCAAAAGGGCTGGGTGTACACTTGGATTGCCTCACAAGGCAGAGGTGGTTGCAGAACCATGCAGAACCCTGCTTTGTCAGATTCGAGTGCTGTCTCAAGTATCTCTTCTTGAGGTGCAAGGAATGCATCTTTCTGACTTTAGCATCTCTGGTATCTATTTCTGATTCTCACAGCTGTACTTGGAGCATAATGTGAGAGCATCTGTTGGCAGCATCTGCTATCAGAGATAATTAGGATGGGTCACTTGTTTCTTAGTTTGCTTTTCCAGCCGTCTGCATTTTTTAGTCTACATATCCTTTCTCATAATCATTTTCCTCTGAACAATCCCTCCCTCTTGAGGCAGCATGTTACTTCAGAGATTCTGTGGTAATGTTTAAGACTGTTACATATTCAGTCTTTTTGCATTTACTAAACCTGTATTTTTATAAATCTGTTTACTGTAGTAAATTTGAAGAATATAATCCTAACTTGTATTTAGTGATACAGTGATAGTGTTTACATGCTTCATATTCCTTTCTTGAGTAGATTTTGGAAGCTTAAAGCTTAAATCTTATCAAGAGACTGTCCTTTTTTTCTTCATTCTATCTCATTTTCCCTGTGGAGTCTTTTACTTATCTACAGTACTGCTGGGGTTTTTCTGTAAGAGGATCCATACTCTGGACTTTTTGGTTTAGACAACAAAAAAAATCTGATCAGAAAACTCCATAACTTTTTTTTTTTTTTTTTTTTTAAGCAGGCCTATAGAAAATACTTTAAAGTTTATCCTGGAAGATGAGCTTCATCAAATAGATGCATATTCTGTAGAAGAGAGAATGCCTTTTGCTAGACATCTGAATGAAGTCCAGAGGATCATCTCTACACAATGTAAGTATAGTGTAGAAATATGGATTTTGTGTGTGTGGCTTGATGTAATAGAAGATTCGTTTTCACTTCTTAGAAGTATAGTATGAAACTTGTTCTGCCACATTGAACATGATAAGTTATGTCTTGAGATGGTTTGAATGGTTTGAATTTTGGTAGACTGTAAAGCTAATTTGTGTTCCTCTGCTCTTTTTCTGCAACTGGAATGACATTTTTTATCATTTGAGGTACTTACAGCAGGTGTGGTAAAACTTCACCATCATATTCCATCTAAGACTTCAGAAGGCAGGCTTCTTTTATTCAGGATAACTTAATCTCTTATTTAGCTTATTGCTCTTCTTTACACAGCTGTAACACTAGAGGCACATCAGTTTCTGAGCAAGAAATCAAATCCAGCAATCCAATAAGAATCTGCATTTCTGCTGCTTCAATAATTTGCTATTTGTGAATGAGGCTGTGATATTTCTTATGGACTGTGGCTGAACTTGTAGTGCTGAACTGGCTCTGCATTTATTTACTGTGTTGAATTGGCTTTTACTCAGAAATTAGGCCTGGCCACCCCCAGCCCTCTGATAACTGAGGACCTGCTGGAATGCAAGGGAATTTATTTTCTGCCAAATTTGCTTACACTTAGCACAAGAAACTCCCTCATCAACTTCTTGTTCACTTTTTTGTCACTTTTCAAAAATAGGATATGGATTCTTGCTCAGTCTTGAGCCATATGTATTCAGCTTTTCCATTTTCTAGTCCTTCCCATTTAATTCCCCAGTGGAGTCTTCTCAGCCTCTTAATCCCCATGTTCTCCTACACGTTGTATTTGGTTTTCTAAAAGCTGACAGGGAACAGATGTATTCACCTGATTTTGCCTTGTTTTCAAGGCTGCTTTACTGCTTCAAATGTCACTCCTGGTATGATAATAGAGTGACAACATTGTCTTCTTTTACTGACTCTCAGGTTGAAAGTTAAATGTTTAGAACAAGGACATTTTTCTTTGAAATCTTAGATTTATGCCAAAAACATTCGACCACAACAAGGCTCATAGGAAAACCAAACTGTCTATTACTAACAATGCAGAGAAGGCAGGACTGGAAGCTGGATTTGTTTCATTTCTTTTGGAGGTAGTGGTGTGGAATCTGTGCTGTGGGCAGGCAAACCTTGAGAGGTGATGGGGCCACTGTTCCTGTGTGCCTGGGCATTTCCCGTGGGTATGTCCCCATCTCCCTCCCTGGCTGGCAGCTGCCACCTCTGAGTGGGGCAGCCCTGGGGTGTTGTCAGCAGCTGTGGTGGGTGCAGAGCACAGTGGGACAGGTTGTGCTGCTGAAACAGCTGCATTCCTGTGGCAGCTTCTGAGAGCTGGCATCCAATCCCTTGTTTGAACTGCTCTGCTCACAGTCTGCTTTGTGCCAGACACAGGAGTAGGAGGTTTGTTGGCTTTTGAAATCATGAGCCATGTACACTACTGGCTTGCCAGGATATGCTGTATTTCTTGCTGTATTTCTTGTTGTTTCCAGCCATCACTTTGGGCATTTGTTTGTTCAGCTTGAGATCCTATTCACAGCAGCTGCTGTGAGGGTTGTTTGCATTCAGTTGTCTGCTTGTCCTGTAGGGTTAAAGTTGATACTACTTTTGCATAACAAGGATTCCTTCCAGCCTAATAAGTGCTTCTTATGAAAAACAAACAAACTAACCACAAGAACACAAATCTGATTATAGCTTTTTGCTCACATAGCTCCACCCTACACCTGTTTCCCGAAGGGCATATCCTGAAATAACATGGCAATCTCTCTGTTAAGTAAACTTCTCTTGCTTTTCTCTCTGTAGTATTGCAGCTATACCAGAGAAGTGGGAGATAATTTCTCTTGAGGTTTTTGGTTAATCATCTTCTGAGGAAAAACACTGTTTCTATATAAATACAGGATTTAAATGGATTCTTTATATTTAATTATTTGTACTCAGGTTATCAGTACCTTTATAAAACAAAATCCATTGTTAATGCCCTTATAACTGGCAATCCTGAACCCGCTTTCCTGTTGCTTCAATAAACTGTACTATTTATGAACCTGTAATCATGGAAGTTCTTCTTGAATTTGACCAGACCTGTAGTGCTGAATTGATTCTAATCAGAAATCAAGCCTGGTCACACCCAGCCCCTCAGATCTCTGAGGACCAGATGGAATGCAAAGGGAGTGTTTATTCTGCTAAATTTCTATTCCCTTAATGCAGAAGTCACTTCTAGCTGCTGATGCTGAATGAAGGCACTTGTTGCTGTACACTTTAAAGTACCTCTTTACTTAAGGGGAAAGTGGATGTAGTAAAAGCTTTAGAAGCATCTTGTGTAAGCAGAAAGTTTGGATTAAAATGTCCCACTGTGGCTGCAAATTTTTGCCATGACTGTTGGTGATGTCCATATACTTTAGGTTTTATTTAAGCAGTGTCAGGAGGAGCTGACTGAGCTGCTCTAAGTGTGTTACCAGGCATTCAGTAATTTAGGCAAGCCCAAAGAAGGAAATCTGACCTTTTCACATCTCCCTAGAGTTTGTTAATGAAGTGTGTTGAAGGAAAAATAGTACATCACTTCTACTTGATGTGGCACTCTTTACATAACAAATGTAGTATGAAAATCTATTAAATATGCTTATTTTATCTGTTTAACATCTTGGATTAGTTTAGCTTTTAAAAGTCTTTTCTGGTAATAGATACCTAAACTCATATTCTTATCTTTTCTGGTAGAAATCTTTACAAAATGCACTGTACCTTTAAATCAAGGTGAGAGAAACTTAAGCAAATAATCATATTTAATAGTATCTAATAATAATAGTAGCTTAGCCAAGTAGTGATGTAGATTCATTATGCAAATATTGCCTGAATAGAACTGTATAAATATGCTTGTACTTTTGGCCTTTGGTATGCTGTGTGTAGATTTTGCAGATCTCCAAAATATTGGAAGGTGGCTTCTGTTGGAGATAGGCAAGCAAGCTCATTTCTGATGACTCCTACACTGGTGTAGGTCTGTTGTGCGTATTTTTTCAACATGGCTTTAAAAGTATTTAGGAAAGATGTTTTGTAACACAGGTGAAAAATGTTCCTGTTTGGTCTCTAGTGTCTGGCTGTGGTCTGGTTGCTTTTCCTAGTCCCACTGCCTTCCCTTGGAGTGAGATTTGAGTCCCAGCATCAAAATGGAAGACAGTTGAGGAGAGAACCCTACAAGAGTAATATTCTGTGGATTGGAATAGATTAATGGGCTGCTCTCAGTAGAATAATTCTGAGAAGTTTGCAGCCCAGTTTAACCAGTCATGTTCTTAGCATTTTTTACATGCCTAAGAAATATACGCAGGGGAAATGAAAAGGGTGGGGGGGGAACCCCTTGCTTTAAGGAACTGTTTTTATCATTTTTAGCAGCATTGTTAAGCAGTAAAGTAGTGAAGCTTGGTGACATTCTAGTACAGTTTTGCAGTCTCTGCTGCTCCTAAATTGATTTTCCAGTTGATTGCAGATGACTACACCAAGGGTGATTGTAGAGAGAAGCAGTTTTACCAACAGATGCAGAAAGAATCCGACACCTTCTGACTGTCACTGCTGCCACCAGCAAGGAGGAAAAGTAGGTTTCTGTTAAAGGGTTTGGATAATTCTGTTACAAAGATGGTAATTACATAGGTAGGGGTAACCCAGTTCAGAAATGTGACCCTGCAAACATGTAGATAATGTTTGAAGATCATGCCTATTTAATGTTTCTGGATCACCTTAAAACTTCTAGTTAGTTTTAAAATTTCTTATGCATCTAAGCAACATCTTTTGCAATATTTAATTCCCTTCCTCCTCACTGACTTCCAAATTTGTTGTATGTCCTTCTGATAGTGATATGACTGGAACTACACCAGAGATTCTCTCTTCTGGTTCATGGAATGTTGCACATGTGTAGCAGTACACAATCTCTTCAAATGGGAGTTAGAAATTCTCTGCCACTATCACAGTTTAGTGATCTGTTGAAATGTTTAGGCACAGGAATCCAGATAGAACTAGAGCTGCTGCAGCTGGGTTGGTTAATATGTCTGAAATGCAAAGATCATGTGGGATCATTGGAGCAGGTTGTAGATGGACAATAATTTTTTTAAAAACAATTAAATAGCAAAGCTGAGAAATTAATTTGTTTTCAGTTGTTTTAAACCAAATATGTGGCTTTATCATGTATACGAGACACTTTTAGAACTGCTTTAAAAAGTAGGTGTATTCCAATATTAAAAACATTAGTTCTTCCTTGACTATCTACTGTTCCACTCATAATTTCAGGATCAATGTGAACAAACATTTTTGTTGATGAAGCAAATGGAACTTGTGACCTTCATCTCTTTACATTGCTAAGAAATGTAATCTTCCAAGTTAAATGACTAAAATCAAGTTATCAGTAAAATTCTTAAAGGTTAACATTCAGCATCAATCCTCAGAACATATGTATTGCTAGTCTTAATTTTGAGCTATCTTCAGTATTTTTGCAAAAAACCAGGCTACTAACAAAATTACAGTAATGTCAGTGTAATAGTTCATAATAGACAATATTATTTTCAGCTACATGTTTCTCAGTATGCTAGGATGATGAAATAAAATCAGATTATAAATATAAATTTTAATATAAATTTTAATAATTTTTCACTCTAGCACTAAAATGATCAAACAGGAATCATTAACTAAAAATCTTCCTCTGATGTATATTACAGCTTCCTACTGTAACAAATACTTTCTTTTCTGCATAGCTTAAAATAGAGATCACAGATAGCTCCCGTTTTTGTAGAAGGTGTTTCTGATCAAAGAACACATTGTACTGTGGATTTCTCAGAGCTCAGCATTTGACTTGGTACTTGTGGCTTGTGGTGCATACAGGGTGGCAACAGCACAGCAATGGGAAACAGTGACACAGACTTTTAGTTTGGTAAAACCAATTTCTCCTTTCTTCAGGGGATTATTCTAGAATTATAAGCAATCACTTACGGAAACTTGAACATGAGGTGAAAATAACATACCTCACATAAGTCAGATCTCACACCTGCACTCCAAGAAGTTAAATGACTGTTTTGTATTCTTGAACAGCTCAACATAGCGTTTTCCTCTTGCCCTGTAATCAGACTTCATTATTCTATCTAGAGAAAGTTTAGGTTGTTTGAGAGATGTCGCTTAAAATATTCTCCATTTAGAACTGCAGTTGAAATTTCTTTCAACGCTTTTAAATTTTAAACACAGATTCATTGCATTTCTGGGTAACAGAATTTGACCTAGTTAAAATGAGACAGCTTTGAAATAGTTCACTGAATTAATTTCTAATAATGCATAATACATGTAGTGATTCAATGTCTGTCCTGGATTGCTGCTTGCATGGCATAAAATGCACTTAACAGACTCACATATAATAATTAAATGATAGGAAGTTATATAGTAATTGCCTAATTATAATTTCAGTTTCTTGTGTTGATTCTATGTAACTAAATAAAAAATGCTTTTTGGGATTTATCTCTATTTGTTTCAGAACTTTTTATTGTAAATGTACAAATTTCACATATTTCCATGTATCAGGAACACAGTAATAAAAATGCAATTTCTCCTGGAGAAAAAGTAACTGCCCTGTTCTTCAGTTAAAAATATTTTGAAATTAAGAAAAAATCTATACCAATCCTATTGTGTTGGGTGTTTGTGAAAGACTTTGTGTAGAATTGGGAATCTTTATCTTGTTCATGATCTAAAGTTAAAACTGACCAATAATGATTTGACACGGGGAAGGAGAACTTACAGCTTTTCATTTATATTTCAAATTGAGTTCATATACTGGTTTTAAATCAAAACGAACCTCTGCAGCTACAGGAGGGCTGGGTCAACACTGAGCTTTAAACATCTCCCTCTGTTATATTGCACAGACTCAACAGCTGTATTTTTCTATCTGTCTGGAGAAGTGCAAAGTCGATGAAAACACCAGTTTGATAAAGCCATCTCTGTTCTCTGTAGCACATCATGATGTGCCTGTGCAGGGTGCACTGGCTCTCATAGCCAAAGCTCTTGGGAACAGATCTGCTGAGTGTACCAGGGTTTCACACAAGACAGCTGATCTGGTAGGTGACTGCTTAGCATGGGAGCTGTGAGATGTGCAGTGTGCCTCTGGACATGAGACTTACTTCTATTACAAGCAGGAAAATACTTGGATTGGTTGGAGTTGAACCCAGTAAATGACCCTGTAACTACCAGATAATTGAAGGTATTCATTTTTTTCCCTCTGAAATACAACTTCAAGCAACTTTTAAATCTGATTTAAGAGTGTTTATAGATAAGAAATAATCTGTAAATTAATGACAGGCACTAGAGATCAATTTTTTTTTTTTTATAAAATGCTGGCATGTCTATTAATGTGCATGTGCACCCTGCAGTATGTGCAGATATTCTTCACAAAATTAGACAAGTTCTAAGGAAATATACACAGGTCCCTAAGGGGAACTGCTCTCTCACAGGTTACAGTTGCAAAGGGTTTGATCATCTGCTAATGCTGTTGAGGATTTAAGTTGTAATAGCACTGTACACAGAAATGCATTTAAGTTAGTGATATCCATCAAAATCAAATGCAACTCTTGGTTTAACAAGAATTAGACTTGGAATGTTGGTGTCATTTTGTCTGTAGAACTGCTCTATAGAAAATTCTTCAGTGCCCTTGTGAAAAGAGGGTTGTGAGATTCTCACAGGCTTCTACTTGTGCTCCTAGTTTCTTTTGAAGAGTTGCTCACTACTTCTGTTTATTTAGACTCAGACTTATTGAACAAACTCATCCTTTACCTGAAGAGGAAGACAATCTCATAAGGATGTGAGGCCATGGACAGGCACTGCCATCCACACCTTGAACACACCTTCACCTCCTCTGCTGCCAAGCAGTACTGCTGTCTTAGGCTGGTCATTCTTTCCTGAGGTTAAACCTTGACTTGGGTAAAAGGCTGTCAGGGGCTCTTCTTCCAGCACTCTTTCAGCTTTGTATTTCAAAGTAATTCGTTCTCTTTCTGTGACTGACTTGATCCCTTGCCACAGTACATTTATTCATAGAAGTAGAACAAAACATAGTAGATACTACATGAACTGCAATCAAGTAGATGGGTGAGATGTGGAAAAATCTGAACTTGCAAATATTTGGCAGTGATCAAATAATAGTAGAAAGAGTGGAACTCAGCCATGCTATTTTCAGAGCAAATTTTATGTGAAAGAATTGGAGAGTAGGGGAGTATACTATTCTTTATCTAAAAATGAATTCGTTCTAACATTATAAAAGCATAAGAACATAAAACTCATCTTTCATGTCCTTAGTCAGAAATCAGATTCAACTACTGTCCTTGCATCTGTTTGAAGTTGGTATGGGTTGAGGTGAACACCTGGCTATTTTAGAATGCTTTTTTCCTCCCCTGTTGTGAACTTTTCCCATTCCACAAAGCTTTCTTTTTTAGTTACCAAGTTGGTTGCAATTCTTTTGAGTTACTGAAGCTCATGGGGAAACCAGAAGGGCAGCAGAAACGGTGAGGGCGGTTCAGGTTTTAAACATTAATATTCTTGGATGCATAGAATTAGAGTATAGTGTTTTGTTGTAAATAAATACTGCTTTAATGATTGAAAGTTATGAGGAAGTCAGCAGAAAAATATTGTGACATCTGCTTAATTGGATTATTTTCTTTTATTAAATGCTGGTGTAAAAAGAAACTACATGTACACTCTTGACAGCTATTGATGTGCTGAGTCTGATTCCTTGGATGAATACCAGGCACAAACTCTATCAAAACTAGTGACCTACATTATGGTCATGGATTAAATCCTTGCTTAGAACCAGCCTCAGATGACATCTGTTTATCATGAAATAAAATCTGGCTTTAACTTTTCATACCAATTGCATTTCATTTGTCAGTTTATTTTAACTTGTGTGCAGGTTAACATTAATATCAGAGAGTTTGACTTTGTAGTGTGCTCATGCTATGATTAGTAACCCTGCAGGTCAGTGTGCTCTGTTGTTAATACCTATGGGACTGGTAGCTCAGTGCCTGTACATCATTTAAAGTAGGGCACTGAATGAGAGAGGCCAAGGTGTTTGTAGCTCTTGGGCTGTGGTGCCACAGCTTTGGCTGCACATTGCTGTGTCTGCTTTCAGTTACTGTTTTCAGGCATTGCTTAAGCCTGGTGGTTTTAGACCTTCACAGTTTAAGGAGTATCCTGTACAAACAAAGGTGGATTTTACTGTTTGTTTTAAAGCAGTTGACAACAAAACACAAAAACTATTTCCAAACAGGACTCTCAGATGCAAAGGAAAATCCTCGACCTCTTCTTTTAGCACCTCTTAAAAGGTTTGGACTTCTGGGATGTTCTTCATATCAACCTGCAGAATGGCCACAGCTTGGAGGGACACCTGCCCTTTTACCACCAGGTGAGTGACAAAGCCCTCTAGCTGTTTGGTTTAATAACTGTAAATCATTTCTGCTTAGAACCTGATGCTGACAACTACACATCTACTCTAGCTTGAGAACTTAAATCATTTAAATAATGATGTAAAGAAATTTTCATTTAAATAATGAAAACAGCAGCCATGTCTGCCTGAAAAGTACTGTTTCTATATGGAAAATAATTCCTTCCTTCCCTCCCTCCTTCCTCCCTTCCCTACCCCTTACTCAAAAATTCACCACCGTGTTTTTATGCTAGAAGGGACTAAATAATCAGTTTTTCATGCCAAAATAAAACTTTGTGAGTTTTGGTGGTCCCTCTGACTTCTGTCATTCCTATCCAGCCATGGGCATCTATGCAACTGCCTGGTGTCTCTTTCAGTGTGGGACACCATAAGGACATGGAACACACAAAAGTGTATATCAAATAATTAGGTTTGATAATACAATAAAATGAAACATTAAGGTGGCAATTAACCTTTGACTGATGATAGAGGGGATTGATTTTTAGATGTAAGCAGATGTGGGGAGGATGACCAAACACAGAAACTACAACTGCCTTACAGTATTTGTTGTTTTTTGTCACAGCCATTCATGTTAAACCAGTGCAGCACCAATGGGGCGCTAAGAAGACACTGACAGCACTGAGAATGTGGAAGTCCTGCAACCACCATCGCACCCTCTGTCACCTGCAAGAAATGAAAAATTTAAGAAGGCTTTTCCTTTAAAACAAATGCTCATGAATGTCACTGCTGCACCTTTGTGATTTTAAATTCAAGTTGTAAAGAGTCACAGAATAAAGTTGTGTGTTTTACACAGTTGCCGCCAGTTTCAGCTTGTGTTTGAAATTCTTCAGACTATTCAGATTAGAATGGGCAGGTCTCATCAGACCTGGCTTTCTCTGCATGTTGGGTAGGATGGAATTTCTCTTAATTCATGGAAAGTCCCTCAGTCATTTCTGCATTTTACATTAGAGAGATGAAGGTGAAGACACTGCCCAAGAATTGTTGGTGTGAATTGCTGGTCTGTTAACTGACAGTTTGAAACAGTTTTATAGCAGTCTCTTGAATGTTGAATTTGCTTGCGATTGGATATTTTTAATTTTCAACTGCTTTAGCTTCTATTATAAGTTGAAACTATAACAGTGGGAAAATTAAAGAAAAAAATGGAAATAATTATAATTAGAAAAGCAGTGAAGTAAAATAATGTGAAGAACTGCCTTAATTTGTAGTTACATACATTCCAATCAAATATCAGATTTAAACATTTTTAACATCCATTCCACAAAAATACCAAGTATGCTTGGACTTAATACATGTAAAATAAATGGCAGATGCTATGCCAAAATATTTAACATTAAGTTTAAAACATGGCTTATAGATTGAACATAAACAAACATGCCAGCAATGCTGTTCTTGAAGTTTTATGTGGATTTTTCCAACTTCTGAGAGAGACAATTGTTCTCACACAGAAAATAGTTTAGAAGTATGTGAGGTATATGTCTAGTTACTGAAAGTAACTTTTGTAATGCATTAAATACATCATTACCTGCAACCATAATAGGCATAGTAACTTTGCAGAAATGAGTGAAATTTTAAAATGATTGCCATATCTTTAAAAATGTGAAGTACCTTTTGCTTTATATTTCTAGTGTGTGGCAGCTGTTTTTCATTATAGTAGGAGAAAATTTCCACTGGTAGTGAATAGCAAAGAACATGACTAGTATGTGTTCTTATCAGTATTTCAGAGTAATTAAATTGTTTTGTTCTTTTTGTAAGACAGACTGTCTGATGTCATCACAGTGCATTGTGTAGTGCAGTGCTTCACTGTCTAGAAGGTGACTACACGGTGACTTCAGTATTATGTTTTTCTGATAGTGCTTGCTGGATTTTCTCTATCACAACTCATTGTCAGATGAGTTTTCATTATTAAATTTATTCATTCAATGAATTAGATCAATTCTTTTTTTTTTTTTTCCAAGAAACAATACCAGCTATAAATCTTAATGGAACAAAATTGCTCTGCAGTGCAAACCATAGAAAATAGTCCTGTGCTTGAGAACTAAGTGGTGTCATTCTGTAAGACCTGCCAATTTATTTTTATCTTGCAGGTTTTTTCATTCATTCATCATTTTCATTAATACATTAACTAAACCCTTAGGAACTCCCTGTCAGCCCAGGAGTAAGTAATAATGTAGCTCACTATTTTTCAAGAATGTAATACCAATTTTTAAGAATGATTTATGGTAAGTGATAGTGTAATGGTAGTGCTGTCATTGAATAGGTAACTAGCCCTCAAAATTATTGAACCTCACCTAAGTCCTAACTATGAATTTATTTAGCTGTTGGTACTACAATGTCTGAGGGCTGCACACACTTACAAATTGCCCTGCTGGTGTCCATGTGAGATAGGAGATTGCATAGGCTTTCCCAGGGGAACCTGGAAGCTTGTTTCAGAGTCTGGAATTGAACTAATTCTCTTGAGCCCCACAGTAGGTCCTTAATCACAAAATCATTCCCCACTTTCCCCAAAGGGATTAAATGTAATAACTTGTATCATTTAAGGGCTTTTCTTTTTTAACACTTGAGGTTGAGGGTTTGAGGTGAACTTTGCTAAAGAGTTAGCTGTCATGGTGTAGAATTTCTCTTTCCAAAGAGGGGGAGTGGGAAGTTGAGATGCTGCTCTGGCACACAGGGATTGATCAGGCCCTGCTGGCCCTGCAGTGGCCTCCAGATCTGAGTGGCACCCTGGCAAACACTAATCCCTCTGTGTCCTGAGGAAGGTGCTAAAACCAAGTATCCCAAGGAAACAGAGTGAAAGATGTGCACACCTGCACTGTGAAGAAATGAAACATGTAAAAGGGAAAAGGAATAATATGTTGCCATTTTAGGAGTCAGCTTGGGCTCTGCTTTCACATACAAACAGGAAACTTAAGGGAGCTAAAAACCACCAAACCAGTTTATACGTGCATTTGGACACAAGTGGAGCCCTTCTATGGATGCTTACTTTTCAAGTGAATTAGCCTAAAGTTAGTGTTTTGACATGAAATTAGTGTAAAACTAAATTCAGCACTCCTGTGCACAAAGGAAATCATGTTTGAAATTTCAGTGATTTAAATACAGGAAAAAACCCCACACAAACCAACCGAGCCAAGCAAACAAACCCAAGCTTTGCAGAATGTTATCATCTAAGTGAATTGTAATTTATTTTTCTGAGAAAAATTCTGAGCAGCATGTGTACCTCTTTCATTGTCCTGCTGTTTTCAGATTCTCACAAATGGTCTTAATCACTTTTAGGCAAACAAAAATGCTTGTTTCTCCTTCAATTAGGTGTTTGGGTGAGGTATTTTCTTTTAAAATCAGTTTAAATGGCCAGTAGTCCTTAAACATTCACAGTGCATATTTTCTTCTTCCACACTGACAAGTGTAGAAGAAGAAGATATGAAGCATTGTAGAGGTGAATAAAGAGAAAGAAAAGGTAAACTGAACCATGGACAGTTCCTAAGTCCTACTGCACATTGGAAGAGCTGGCAGTGCTTCCCTCAGGGAAGAAGTGCCGCAGTGGTTGAGGCGCGGTGTGAGGGAGGTGGGCACACAGCACTGCCCAGCACAGTGTGAGGGAGGCGGGCACACAGCACTGCCCAGCACAGTGTGAGGGAGGTGGGCACACAGCACTGCCCAGCATAGTGTGAGGGAGGTGGGCACACAGCACTGCCCAGCACGGGAGTGAGGTGGGTACACAGCACTGCCCAGCATAGTGTGAGGGAGGTGGGCACACAGCACTGCCCAGCATAGTGTGAGGGAGGTGGGCACACAGCACTGCCCAGCACGGTGTGAGGGAGGGAGGTGGGCACACAGCACTGCCCAGCATAGTGTGAGGGAGGTGGGCACACAGCACTGCCCAGCACGGTGTGAGGGAGGTGGGCACACAGCACTGCCCAGCACGGTGTGAGGGAGGTGGGCACACAGCACTGCCCAGCACGGTGTGAGGGAGGTGGGCACACAGCACTGCCCAGCATAGTGTGAGGGAGGGAGGTGGGCACACAGCACTGCCCAGCATAGTGTGAGGGAGGGAGGTGGGCACACAGCACTGCCCAGCATGGGAGTGAGGGAGGTGGGCACACAGCACTGCCCAGCACAGTGTGAGGGAGGTGAGCACACAGCACTGCCCAGCACGGTGTGAGGGAGGGAGGTGGGCACACAGCACTGCCCAGCATGGGAGTGAGGGAGGTGGGCACACAGCACTGCCCAGCACGGTGTGAGGGAGGGAGGTGGGCACACAGCACTGCCCAGCACGGTGTGAGAGAGGTGAGCACACAGCACTGCCCAGCATAGTGTGAGGGAGGTGGGCACACAGCACTGCCCAGCACGGTGTGAGGGAGGGAGGTGAGCACACAGCACTGCCCAGCACAGGAGGGAGGCAGGCACACAGCTCTGCCCAGCATAGTGTGAGGGAGGTGGGCACACAGCACTGCCCAGCGCAGGAGTGAGGTGGGCACACAGCACTGCCCAGCACGGTGTGAGGGAGGTGAGCACACAGCACTGCCCAGCACGGTGTGAGGGAGGTGGGCACACAGCACTGCCCAGCACGGTGTGAGGGAGGTGGGCACACAGCACTGCCCAGCACGGTGTGAGGGAGGCGGGCACACAGCACTGCTCAGCACGGGAGCACCTCCTTGCCCAGGAGCGTGAGGGCTCCAGCACAGCCTGCCCTGGGCCTCTGCTTGTGGAGAGCCAAGTGGAGAGATCCAATTCCCACTTGGCTGCTTTTGCTGTTTGTTCCTGAGTCACCTGGGAGCTGTCTGAGGTGCCTCTGCTCTCCTCCCAGCCGGCAGCCGTGTGGAGTGTGGGGCTGTGTGAAGCAGCCGCCTGCCCCAGGCCAGGGTGCAGTACACAAACTGTCTCCATTGTCTGTCTCAAACCTCTGTGTTACACCTGAGGAACATGGGAACAAACCCATGTTTGACCAGCATCAGGGCCCACAGGAGGGCTGCTGAGGGCAGAAAATTGCTCTCAACACATCCTTTGATCAATCTGCTGTTTGTTTTCCGAACTGCTTAGCTGGGCAGGAGTCACTTGAGGCCTACATTGCATTTTACCAAAAAGAAAACATACCAGGTGAGATTTAACCAGAACCCTGCTCCAGTGATCAAGTAGAAAGAGGAATGATAACTTTCATCTATAGTTAAGGCTAAAATATTGCCCAGAGTGCTTGAATTATTGACTTTCTTCATGTCGCCAGTACTGCCGTTGATTTCCACTTCCTCAGGTCTCATGTGGTGATGTATTTTAACGGCACTGTATTTCTCATCTTGCCCTCTTACATCTTTAGCTGGATTTACTTTTTCTGACAGAAAACTTGTATTTAAAATATTTTTCAAACACCAGTGCTATTCTGACCTGCTTTTGAACTCAAATATTATATGTGGACTAAATGAAAATGTTGTTGAACTGTAGTCCGGCTGCAGAGGCCTGGTGAAGTTTGAGTAACCAAGACAGGAGAAAGTGACTTCCTTGTTTAAAATGTGTTCTTTCAGAGCATAGAACTTTTTTGCACTGTACCAACATCCTGGCTGCATCTCAGCCTGGTGTTTGCCCTGGTGCCATGCACCTGCCATGGCAGAGGCAGGACAAGGAGTGAAGGGAGTGGGAGGCTGCCCATTTCCCCGGCTAGCAGCTGTGCTGCACCTTTGTGGTCAGAGCTGCCAAGGTGGAAAACAGCTCTCACTGCTAGCCCTGCACCGAGAGCCTGGGACTTGAGCACCAGTTGTGGAGGGCAAGGAGGCATCTGAAGCTGGTCTCCTGCTGGAGCAGATCAAAGT